CCTGGTGGACAACAAGCTCAATATGAGCGAACAGTGCTGCTGCAGCGAAGAAAGCCAACAGGACGCTGGGTTGCATCAACAAGGGCATCAGCAGCAGAGATAAAGACGTCATTATCCCACTCTACTCGGCGCCTGTCAGGCCACACCTGGAATACTGTGTTCAGTTTTGGCCCTCACTACGCAATAAAGATGTGGGCAGGCTGGAGAGGGTCCAGAGAAGGGCCACAAAGATGATCCAGGGCCTGGGAAGCCGGCCATATGAGGAAAGGCTGAGAACTGGGTTTGTTCAGCCTTGAGAAAAGAAGGCTTAGGGGAGACCTTATCACAGTGTTCCAGTATTTAAAGGGTGGCTACAAAGAAGATGGAGACTCCCTTTCTACAAGGAGTCACATGGAAAAGACGAGGGGTGATGGGGACAAGTTACTCCTGGGGAGATTCTGATTGGACACAAGAGGAAAATTTTTCACAAAGAGAACAATCAGCCATTGGAATAATCTCCCCAGGGAAGTGGTGGATTCCCCAACATTGGATACTTAGGATTCGGCTGGACAGGGTGCTGGGCCATCTTGTCTAGACCGTGCTTTTGCCAAGAAAGGTTGGACCACATGATCCTTGAGGTCCCTTCCAACCTGCTATTCTGTGAGTCTATGACCCTATGAAAATACCCTTGTGTGCAAGTACCAACCCTGCCTGAACTGAACAACCACAGCTAAACTTCAGTTCTCTTCAGCATATGAGATGCTTATTCATAACTAGAAAGCTTTGCCACTTTGTCCTTCGAGTGAAAGCCCTTCACTTCTCAAAACACCAAGTTTTCAAGTTATCAAATACTGCAAACAGGTTGTACCAATATGGGAAAAAGTTCACTAAAATAATTATACCATCACAATTACGCATCAGAACCATACTCTAAACAATTTTATAAAGTATAAATTATACCTCTCAAAAAACCAGTAATTTTCCAGAATCCAGAATAGCTATTATCAAATAACCATTACCAGTCTTTTTCTTAGACAGAGCAGATCGTAACATCAACATTCTTTTCCTGAACACCCCCTCAGCGATATCTTCAACTCCTACCAGAAAAAGTGCTATTAAAAAAAAATCACTAATTTACATGTAGCTGAGCTGCAAGTTTTTCCACTTTCACAAGTCAATACACCATCCATTGCTCATTTATTTAAAAGGCAAGTAGGGGCAAGGAAATTCTGAAGCGAAAAACCAGAAATGGTTAAGTCTCTAAGATGGTACATTTTACCTTACCCTTTAAGCATGTCAAGAACCTTAGTAGCTGAAACAAGGCCTTTTCCACATTCAGCAAGGGAGGGTTGCTGTCCAGATGCAGGAAGGATGTCACTCTGATCTCCATTCTGAAATGCTGAGGCAAAGGAGCCCAAGTATTGACGGGAACAGACTTGGGAAATTTATCTGTATTTATGTGGAAGTACTTTTCTGGAGTAGGAGGCCACTAATTGGTGACACAGGTTAACATAGGATAATCGTTAAGAGATGATAACGGATTCCACAACCATGAGTACTTCTCATGTTAAGAAAACCTCATCAAGTAGGACCATTCAAATCTACCTTGGCAAATTAGAGATTGTGTTACATCCAATTTCAGAAAGATAGCAAGGCAAATTTGGAAAATCAAACCCAAATAACCTCAAGCCACTTGATAACACTTGAATCCCAGCTCTGTTTTGGAAAGGCTTCCTGCCCCAAGTGGAAGTCTGGTCCACCCATCTTTATATTTGCAGAATATGGCCTTTCATGTAAATACAGAAAATTTTGTTATTCTTCATGGAACATTGTCTACACAAAAATACTGAGGGAGGTCCACTGCTACAAGACTCGTGCTAAAAGCAGAAACAGTCCTAAATGCAGGCAGCCAATATTGCAACAAGCAGTATTATACATCTTCTGCCTTCCTTATGATGGCATGGACACTTCGTGTGTGCACACGTGCTGCAAGAGACACTGGATAAAGACTACGAGAAAGAATAGGTACAATTTTAATGAAATGTATGTATCACTGAGCGTATGCCTGCCTGACAGATCTTAAATGGGAGACATAGCCCCTCTGTCCTGATACTGTCCTTGACACTACACTAAACCTGGCTGAGGACAGGGAAGTGGGAATGAGGAAAAATGGTGTGACAAAAATACAACACACTTCAGGAAGAGCTCAGTTTCGGCAGTTTAATTGCTGGTATAATGAAGCATTAAACAGGTAGTTGCACAGAGCTCATGGATATCATCTTAAAATAACTTAAAAACTGGCGTAATGGGTAAGTAAGAGTTCAAGCCAGCAATATTACAAAGAATACAATCTGGTTAACAGGGGGTTCCACCAGCCTGTGTCAGCAGGTCCCGCTGGGCTAAAGAATCAGCTGACGCTGGGATTTCTTCAAGAGAAAAGAACTTCAGTACCAACCAATAATAACATCACAGAGATCCAAACCATTGCACACTGCAAATTTCCCTTGAAGGAATTCACTGCCAGTTCAAAAACTGAAAATGGCAACTACTACAGACTTTGCATGAACAAGGAGTTGGGGGGGGGAGGGGGGGAGGAGAAGAGAGGCTGAATTTTGTGGGTTTTTTGAGGCATCAGTAAGAATGAGTTATTTCATTAATTTACTTTTATCATGTGTGGTCCCAGCTGAAAAATTTGCTGTTTGCAAACTTTGCTGCAAAAGTGACTTTGTTAAGACTGAGAATCACACAGAAACCAGAGCATCTACCTTTTCGTCCAAGACAAACTACATTGGAGATACTAACTTCTCCCTATCTTTCACACAACCTAAAGAAAGTGGGGGAAAGCAGAGAAATACTCTTCTGCTTTGCCATTCACCATCTCCCAGATCTGAACTTGGCACACTGAGAGTACCACAAGTAGTTCTGTAATGATGAAAATCACCTGTGTTGGAAGCTAATTTTTCACAATCTTTCCTGCACAGCTAGAGAAATAGTACCTATTACAGCAGAAGAGACAAAACTCTTGCTCTGTGTAACGTACTACCACAAATCAAACACTTAAACCACAATTTGCTCTTAATTACACTACAGAATTATGTTGCAAGTGATTCAGAATTACAACTAATAGGATACAAGAGTTTAGGGACTTTTTAGTTAATGAACTCTACACACCTTGCATTTAAAATCTCAAAACTAAGAGATCTGATCGAACATTTTCATAAAGGTAGAGCTAAAAAAAATGTAGTTCATATCTGCTTTAGCTTATATATGTTTGAAACTGAGATCCCACAGATCTGTAGCTTTGACATATCCAAGTTAGTCTGAATAGCAACAGCAGCACAGATATGCCCCAGTTAATTTGAATGACGGTCATTAATGAATGCACAACAAAACATCCGTTTTTTCCTGTCTTCCTGAAGTGGCCTGAAAATAGAACGTAGCTGAACAACTTAAAAGGAACATTTTGGTAGAGAATGTTTTATTAGTTAAAAATGCAAAGGCCTATACAGATTCAGGCTGCGAATTCACTGACTTCAATAAATACGAATTCTCAAATTCTGTTCAAGCTCTGAAAATAGCATTGATTGAAAGAGTTTGTATTTCTTTACAAATTTAAGTAAATAGTTTTTCAACCATCAATGATAGCTGTTCATTCTGTAAACAAATAATTCTCTTACGTCTATCTATTCTAACAATTCTTTTAGATTTTGAAGTGTCTGTGTTTCCTTTTAATGGACTTTGAACGTACACATACAAGCATCTTGAAACCAACTGGTCACTTAAGAGCTTCTGGCTTGTCCGGTGATGTGTTTATCCTCCCTCCCATTTGGCAAGGACTATCTGGAGACATTTTGAACTATATTGCTTAGAAAAGCCTCCCAACCCTTTCGAAGAAAGACACTTAAGCCACTTAACTTAAAAACCAGTTTGGGGAACCAAAGACTAGTTGAAGTATATTGACAAAGGAAAGGAGGAACGGGCAGTAACTTTTCCTAGGAAAGCTGGATTGCTTAAGAGTGTGTCTGCCTGTGCTTGTACACTTATGTATGTATAAAACCCTCTACCACCCCATCCACACAGGTCTGCCAAAGAAAACACTGTTTGCAAAAAGACAGCACTAAGGAAAACGGGTTAACATTAAAGATAGTTTGTCAGCTAAACTAAGAAGAAAACTGTTTTTCTTTCAGCCATTAAAATTCAGATTCTTATTGCAGTGAAGCTTCTGACATGTTTTTATTTCTGGAACACAGAATTATTTCTGGCTCTTTACATAATTCTTGTATGCAGGAGGTTATTCACAATGACTGAAATTACAATGCACTAAAATAGTTACCAGATAAATAGAACACTGAAAAGCAACAATGAGATTTTCAAGGCTTCTAACATGAAAGGCAATAATAAGACTCCCATTGACTTCAGTGGGAGCAGAATTCCATAAGCACAAGTGCAGAAATCCTGCTTTATGTATTTATCAATTTGCAGGTGTGCAAAGATAAAAGGAGAAAAGTATTATGAAAAATACTTGAACAGCAAACTTCTCCCTATTATTAGCACAAGAAATACCTTAGAACAAGGATACAGAAAGTGAAAACTTCACAAGAATGAAGAACATGGGCATAATATTGAGCAATTCTTTAAAAAGAGCAATTAAATATTTGAATTTTTAAATAAAAATTTAAATAAATCTTTTAAATAGGACATAAAAAGTAGAAAATGTAATTTGAATAACTGCTGATAAAAAATGCTATGGTAGTAACACAACTTAAAAATAAATGGTATGCAATTTGATATTCATTAATGTAATATTATTTTTAGAGCACAAAAAAGGTGATCAATAAAGGTGTGGTCAACAATGAAACTTCACACAACAATTAAGAGTGCAATTGCTGTTCATATTATTCACCTGACAATTACTGTTTTCCATTATACCTAACCAGTGATACCTAACACGCATCTAAACAACATTTAGAGTAATTTTTCATTAGCAACTCTTTGGGTGATGAAATGGGGAGAATTAAAAAGAAAGAAGTTGGTAATTCTGAGATGCAGAGGAAAAAAGGCAATGGAAAATTATACAAGACTGGTTAAGACTCCTGTGGAACACATTATTATTCAAGGATACTCCTTCAGAAGTCACGGAGTAGAGATTTGGTATTCTCAACATTTTAACAATTACAAAAGACTGCACACTACCTTCTAATCATACAAAGTGTTTTTCTTCCCAAACGAAAAAACAGTGTCTGATTGTTTTAATATTTAAGATACTGATTTATATTCAAAACAGCTGCTGGTTTTCGTTGTTATTATGGATACAGCCACACAGGGAATGCTCCCCTTGCAACTCATTATGTCTGTTTGATCTATTGTTATGAGGAAGTAGTGTATTGAAATTTATACTAATCCTGTCCTATGAAGTATTAAAAAAAAATAGAATTTTTAATAAATACCTAAGCACTCTTTATATGCAAGGCTAATCAGCAGGTGGATTATCAAGAACACTGAGGCAGTGCAGAGAAAAAAATCCTTCCGTTCTTCAGTGTCTTGTATTCAGTTTAGCTTTTTAATATTCGAGTATGTAGCTTGTGCCTTTAATAATATAAGAGCTGGACAACAGCTAACTTTATGACTGACACAATTAATTGCAACAAACAAGTCTGTTCTTTTACAGCAACACTGTCTTTACACCTTAAGCCTGTAAGTCAGGTGTCACAATGCTATGGTAATAAATTTAAGAACAGCAGATTAATTATTTTTCAAGAAACAACCTGAATTAGTATGTTTTACCGTTACTGCTCTAATGCATAACTGCATTACCATATTCACACACAGTGTAACAACTGTTTCTTATCTTACCTGCCACTACAGAGAAGCCAACGAGCAAGAGAATAGTGAGGTATGATCTTCTGTATGACACTAGCCATTACCATGGTAACCACCAACTGTACACCTATCACACCCTGTAGAGGAATAAGTTAATAACAAGTCAGTATGTGTTTTGGAACAGTGCTGAAGTACCTTTAAAAAAAAAAATTAAAAACACCTTGTATATGACATGACAGTTTTCAAGAAATCCCCTGGAACTTGCTATAGTCAGTTACATACTTCATCGAAGGGAAAAGGCATTGCCAGGTCGCGATGCCAGTAACGTATGTCCCCTGTTTCACAGGCTGTAAGGCCACATATGGACGTGGCATTTCACAAGACATTATGCCTTAAAATTACATCACTGCTTACAGTCTTGGTTTTTGTGGTCTTTTCAGTTCTGACACGATTTAACAGCTGACACCGCACAAACCCACTGGAATTAACAGTAATTTACAACATCCATGTCGTGAAATTCAAGCCCTTTGATTAGTGCAGAGCATTTGCTCCTCGCTGAACTCCAGGCAGAGGTGGGGAGGGGACACGGGAATCAGCACAGCTTCACTTTAACGTCCAACTCTTGATCAGGATCCGGCACTTCAGCAGCGCCAGCAGTAATCTCATTCCCAGTCACTCGGCAAGCTTTAATTCTGACTATTGGTTGTTGCTGGGTTTTTTGTGGGGTTTGTTTGTTTTTTTTTTAAATAAAGCAACTTTAAACTTCGAAAGCTAAATAACAATGAGTGAAATGTTGCATCTTACTACTTTTATTCTGCACATGAAATTCTATCAGCTAATACTAACACCACTAAAAACCAGCATGAAGCATGTACACCACATTTCCTCTATTTACACGCAAGATATTCATACCTAAAACATCACAAGCAATAGTAAAAAGTATCAAACACAGATATGCAAGGGAAATTTACAAAAACATGCAAGTGAAAAGACACTAAAAATCAACCAAATAAGCTATTTCCACTCTTTTAAACTGTTTTTCAGAATACTTTTTCATGGAAAGGAATAGAGATACTTTTTCAATCAGCAGACAAAATGCCACATTTAAGTGGTAGCGTATAAAAGTTCATATTCACTTCCATTCTTAGATACCAACTTTTGGATATCGCTAGTTACTAACGATATATTGAAGACAAACTATTTCCCTCTGTAGTTGTAGAAGCTGGGAATTACACTTCACTAGCTTTGTACTCATGCAATGTGCTACGGAAGGTCAGGAGGCAAAATATGGAACCAGTACGCAATTAACCATTGGCAAATAAAACACAGATTAGCTCATACACTTGAGAAACATCTTCTCCAAAATTCCCCAAAGGAAGAAGATTCGTCTGTCAAGAACACCTCACTAAGCAGCAGTACTGCCATTGTTCAAACACACGCTCTCCTACCTAGCACACCTGTTCTCTTGGAGGAAATTTAACCACACGTTATTTTCACCAGAAGTTTCTCTCAATGTAAAGATAGTCTGGGAAAGAAAGAGCAATTCTGACAGAATGGTGAAACAGCTGAGGTTGGAAGGGACCTCTGGAGATCAGCTTGTCCAACCTCACCTGCTAAGAACCGGGTCAACTAGAGCAGGTTGCTCAGAGCCATGTGTTCAGTCAGGTTTTGAATGTCTCCAAGGATGGAGACTCCATAACCTCTCTGGGCAACCTGTGCCAGTGTTTGACCATCCTCACCTTCAATAGTTTTTTTTCTTTCTTACGTTTCAATGGAATATTCTGTATCGTGCCCACTGCCTCTTGGCCTTTCACCGAGCACCACTGAGAAGAGTCTTGCTCCACCTTCTTTATTCCTCCCCATCAGGTATTTATATACACGGGTAAGATGCCTCTTGAACTTTCTCTAGGCTCAGCAGCCCCAGCCCTCTCAACCTCTCCTTGTACGACAGATGGTCCAGTCTCCCCATCTTCGTGGCCTTGTGCTGGACCTTCTCCTGTAAGCCCATGTCTCCCTTGTACTGGGGAACCCAAAACCAGATGCAGCACTCCAGCATCTCGCCAGTGCTGAGCAGCGGTGAGCACCTTTTTCAACCTGCTGGTGATTCTCAGCATAATGCAGCGCAGGGTGCTGTTGGCCACCTTTGCCACAAGGGCCCACTGATGGCTTTATGGTCAACTTAATGATCTCCAGGACCCCCAGGTCCTTTTCTGCCAAACATTTTTCCAGGTGGACAGCCCCCAGCATCTACTGGTGCCTGGGCTTATTCCTCCTCAGGAATACTGGCATTTCCC